TAAGCATAAAACAGAAGTCAAGAGAGAAATGAAGCACGAAGAACACAAGGATATTATGTGATTCAGCCACTAGGGCCTACATCCACGGCACAAAGAGCCTAAAGCGCTACATCACTTTATAATATATTCTCTCTTGATCTTTGTATACAATGATCACCTCTATTTATAGGTGAAGAAATAGAGGTGATAAATATGGAAAATACATTAATGGAAGATTCCTAAAATCAATACCATAAATCACTCCAATCAATATTCTATTATAGGCTAGAATCTCTCCCATGATATTCTCATATCAAATATTCTATCAAGGAGTAATTTAAGGATTCCTATAATAATATTTCTAAATATAACATTTTGTAACACAGACTGAACAATTGAGAGATATAAAGCTCGTTTAGTTGCAAAGGGCTTTACTCAGACCTATGGAATTGATTATCTAGAAACTTTTGCTCTAGTTGCCAAGATAAACTCTATACGTGTTCTTCTTTCTTTGGCAGCTAATTTGAATTGGCCCTTAAATCAACTGGATGTAAAGAATGCTTTCCTTCATAATGACTTGGAGGAAGAGGTGTCTATGACTATGCCACCAGAGTTTAAGCTTGCCAATGGTCAGAATTTAGTGTGCAAGCTAAATAAAGCCTTGTATGGGTTAGAGCAGTCGCCATGTGCTTGGTTTGAGAGGTTCAGCACTGCTATGAAAAGAGTAGGGTACACACAGAGTCAGGCAGATCATACTCTCTTCATCAAGAAGCACCAGGGCAGCACCACTACCCTTATTGTATACGTTGATGATATTGTTATCACCGGAAATAATCCAGAAAAGATTCGTCAAATGAAGTCATTCTTGGGGATAGAGTTCGAGGTTAAAGACCTCGGATCATTGAGATACTTTCTTGGCATCGAGATGTGCAGATCAAAGAAAGGTGTGTTCATTTCTCAACGGAAGTATGTGTTAGATTTGTTAGCTGAAACAGGCAGGCTTGGAGCTAGACCCAGAACCATAGGCTTAATGATGTAGATGGAGACTCATTAGATGATGTGGGAAGATTTCAATGATTGGTTGGGAGACTGATTTACTCATCCCTCACGTACCCAGATATTGCCTACACTATTAGTGTGATTAGTCAATTTATGCATGGTCCACGTACACCTCACCTTAAGGCAGCTCGTCATGTTCGCTACCTCAAGGGTTCACCTGGTAAGGGGATATTGTTTGGCAGTAATGGCCACTTGCATGTTAAAGCCTATACTTAAGCTTTTGAGCACGGTTTGTGACAGATTGACGATCTAATTCAGGATATTGCACATTTGTTGGAGGTAATCTTGTTTCATGGCGAAGTAAGAAATAGTCTGTAGTAGCTAGATCTAGTGTAGAGGCTGAGTTCAAATCCATGGCACATGGAGTTTGTGAGTTGTTATGGCTGTGTACGATGTTGGGTGAGTTGGGTTATCCTGTCCGCGAGCCGATGAAGTTGTACGGTGACAACAAGGCTGTCATTAGCGTTGCCCACAATCCAATTCAACATAAGAGGACAAAGCACATTGAAGTCGATCGACACTTCATCAAGGAAAAGTTTTGTCTTGGGCTGATTTATACTCCATACGTTAACACCATGATCAAGTTGTTCTTTTGCCTAAGGGTGTTAGCAAGAGTTGCCTGCAAAATATGTTAGTCAAACTGGGGATGATAGATATCTTTGCACCAGCTTGAGGGGGAGTGTTGTCAGGGCTTATTTGTTATTACTTATATAATGTTGGGGCTTATGTGTAATTTCTGAAACTTGTTATTATAAATAGAATGTGGTGGGATGAAAGTATTCTCTCTCTCTTTCCCCATATCTTTCTCTGTTTCTCTCATCCATTTTCTTCTCTTTTTCTTCTTCTTCTTTATCACTTACTCTTGATTTGAGTATATCTTAAAGTCAGCATATATATATAACATAACAAATATAAAATACAAAAGAAGAAGAAGAAGAAGAAGAAGAAAATTATTCAAATATGCACGCTAAAAAGAAGAATTTTAAGAATTAGAAATAGAAAAAGAAAAAGGAAAGAAAAATGAGAGAACTTTAAAAGGAAAAAGTTAAGAGTTTCAATTAAAATGAATGAAAATTTGACTTTTGTTTTAAGGGAAATTTAAGGAATTTGAAGAGTAAATGAGAAATAAAGAAAAAATAAAGAGATAAATTTAGAAACCACAAAAAAATTTAGGGGGGGCGGTGTATAAAATTTTTCATATATATGAAGAAAAAAAAATACCACATATATTATAGAGTGCGGGACAGGTCATAGGGGGCACATGCCCCCTAGGCCTTCATTGGCTCGGTCCCTAGAGCATAGGTTCGGCTTTCCGACTGCGTAATCATGCTTCCACGACAACAACCGAGAAGAGAACGTCGTAGGATGCAATTCCGGCCAAGCCCTTAGCCTGGCAAGTGAAAAACGAACTCGAGAATCTGGAGAGACACGTGGAAATGTTGAACCAGCAATTGGCTCAACATGTTATCAACCCGCTAGTTGATGACAACTTTCCGATGGAGGATGACCTATCTAACATCAGAACTTTTGCGAAACATCCGTTTTATATTTCGCGTCGCCATAGATCACCCGACGATCGGATCGATCATCGTTGGGAGGCGAATATCAAATTTGAGATTCCTGAATTTCACGGGAGTGGGAGAGGAGTTTATCGATCGGCTAAATACCACTAAAAGAATTTTTGAATACCACGAGATACCAAATCACAAGAAGGTCAAGCTCGTAGCTATTCGTTTAAAGGGTAAAGCATCGACATGGTGGGAGAAATTACGGATTACCAGAAAGCATAGATGTAAGCCAAAGATTGTAGAATAGGAGAAAATGAAGAAAAAGTTGAAGAAACAATTTTTGCATTTTAATTATGTCCAAACGCATAATGCGAGGCAAGGTAGCGGTAGTGTGGAAGATTACACGAACGATTTTTATGAGTTGTTACCACGCAATGACCTATCGGAGCGTGGAGAACATATTGTGGCACACTATTAGAGCGGACTAAGACCCAACATACAAGAAGTTCTGCTCTCACATTCATTTTGGTCAGTTTCGGAGGCTTATCGACGAGCTTTGGTGGTGGAGAAACAACAAAACAATAGGCGATTTCAAGATTGAAAGAAATTTGTATATTGCCTTCCTTTGAATGGTTTACAATGCTTTAGTTAAATAGGACATACAAGGGGCTAAAAAAAAAAGGAAACTACAAGCTGACTACAAGCTGTGACAGTAAACTACAGGCTGTAATTACAGGCTGTATACTAACAGAAGCTACAGGCTGTATACTAACAGAAGCTACAGGCTGTGCACTAATAGAAGCTATAGGTTATACACTAAAATATCCCCTAAAATCTGGTCATTGACTATCTATATTTACACGCCTATCATATCCCCTAAAATATGGTCTTATTAAAACCAAATATCTCTTTTTCAACACTCCCCCTCAAGCTGGCTTGTAGATGTCTTCCATAGCTAGCTTGCTTCTTAAAACTTCAAACTGTTTCTTGTGTAGTCCTTTGGTAAGGATGTCTGCAGCTTGTTCAGTAGTAGAGACATAAGGAATGCAAATCATACCACAGTCAAGCTTTTCCTTGATAAAGTGTTTGTCAACTTCCACATGTTTGGTTCTGTCGTGGAGGACTGGATTATGAGCAATTGAAATGGCAGCTTTGTTGTCACAGTAGACTCTCATTGGAGGAGAAACAATAACCTTCAAATCTTCAAGGATTTTTTTTAACCATATAGCTTCGCAAATCCCATGGGCGAGTGCTCTGAACTCGGCTTCTGCACTACTCCTCGCTACTACATTTTGTTTCTTGCTTCGCCACGTGACTAAGTTTCCTCCAACGAAGGTGCAATATCCTGAGGTAGATCGTCTATCAACTATACTGCCTGCCCAATCAGCATCTGTGTACACCTCCACTTGTAAATGACCTTGTTTCTTGAACATAAGTCCTTTACCTGGTGAGCCCTTTAAGTACCTCAGAATCCTGTACACTGCTTCAAAGTGTTCCTGTCCAGGAGAGTGCATGAACTGACTCACCATACTGACTGCAAATGCTATATCTGGGCGTGTGTGAGATAAGTAAATTAGTCTTCCCACCAATCTCTGATATCTTTCACGATCAACCATATTCTCGGGTTCGGCAACTTCTAACTTCAGGTTGACTTCAATTGGAGTGTCAGCAGCTTTACACCCGAGTAGTCCTGTCTCATTAAGCAAATCAAGTACATATTTTCGTTGATTCACGAAAATTCCTTCTCTTGACTTGGCAAATTCCATTCCAAGGAAGTATTTTAATGCTCCCAGATCTTTGACTTCAAAATCTTTAGCAAGTTTCTTCTTCAGTCTGGTCGACTCTTCAATGTCATCACCTGTCAAAATTATATCATCCACATACACAATTAAAATGGCAATTTTCCCTTCCTCACCGTGTTTGTAGAACATGGTATGGTCTGCCTGACTCTGATGATACCCATGACTCTTCACAGCCTTTCCAAAACGTTCAAACCACGCTCTTGGAGACTGTTTCAAACCGTACAGGGATTTTTTGAGTTTACAGACTTTGCTCTGACTGTGTTTTCCTTCGAACCCAGGTGGCAAGCTCATAAACACTTCTTCTTCCAAGTCTCCATTTAAAAAGGCATTTTTTATGTCCAATTGATGTAATGGCCAATTAGAATTGACTGCCAACGACAATAAGACTCAAATAGAATTTATTTTTGCTACAGGAGCAAACGTCTCTTGGTAATCAATGCCGTACGTTTGCGTAAAACCTTTCGCCACAAGTCTTGCCTCGTACCTTTCCACACTACCATCAGCTTTACACTTAATAGTGAAAACCCATTTACACCCAACAGTTTTCTTTCCTTTGGGTAAGTCAACTATCTCCCACGTTCCACTCCTTTTAAGAGCATTCATCTCCTCTAACACTGCTGATTTCCAATTCGGATCATCTAGTGCTTCCTGATGTTTCTTGGAACAAACAAGTGAGAAATATTTGAAGTAAAAGCCCTATGTTTATGGGAAAGTTTATCATAAGACAAGTATTTGGCAATGGGATACTGGGTACAGGTTCGGATTCCTTTTCTAACAGCTATAGGGATATCAAGGTCTACAGGAACTTGGCTAGGTGTCTCTGTACGATTAGAAATAGTAGGGACAACTGTAGACAAGTTAGGATTTAGAGTACCTTGAGTGTTCAGGGAGTCATTGCTCAGGACCTCTGATTGGCCTTGCTCAGGTACAATAGTAGGCTCTCTACTCTTTTGATGAGTCTTTTTTCTGTTATAAACCAGAAGCTCAGGATTCGGATTTTTTGGAACCGTTGGTAGGATTTCTCCCCCTGTTGGAGATACAGTAAGGCTCGGCAGATTAGGACTAGGAGGCCCCGGGTTTCCTGATTCTAGAACATCATTTTCTTGTTTAAAAAGATCAGTGTTTGGAGTAATAGAGTGTGAGACAATAGTTTTAGGTAAGGGAATATTAGTAGAAATCTCCCAAAAATTTTCTTCACTCTCTTTCTCCCCCTGAAGAAAAGTTTTCTGAAAATAAGGATGATTTTCTAGAAAAAAAACATCCATACTGATAAACATTTTTTTTGTTGTCGGATTGAAGCATTTGTACCCCTTTTTATTCGGGGCATACCCAACAAATACACATTTTTCGGCCCAAGGATCCAATTTAGATCGAAGTCTACTAGGTAAATGGACAAAGACAGTGCACCCAAATACTTTCAAAGGCAGGTTTGAATAAATCCGAGTTTCAGGAAAAGATTTTTTAAGGCTTTCAAGGGGTGTAAAATAATTAAGAACACGAGTAGGCATCCTGTTAATCAAATATGTTGCTGTTAAAACGGCTTCACCCCACAAATACTTAGGAACATTCATTGAAAACATGATGGCACGAGAAACTTCAAGTAAATGTTTATTGTTTCTTTCAGCAATTACGTTTTGTTGGGGTGTGTCAACACAAGTGGATTGGTGAAAAATTCCTTTTTCTGTTAAAAAACTTCCTAAAACTTCATTAAAGTATTCGGTGCCGTTATCAGTATGAAGAATGCCAATTTTTGTTTGAAATTGATTTTCAATCATCATATAAAAATCCTTGAATAATTTTTCAACTCCAGATTTTTCATTCATTAAATACACCCAACACAAACGTGTATGATCATCAATAAAAGTCACAAACCATTTTTTTCCAGAAAGAGTTGTGATCCTAGAAGGTCCCCAAACATCGCTATGGATTAAATAAAATGGTTTTGATGTTTGGTAAGGTTTAGGAGAATACGTAGTACGATGACTCTTTGATAAAAAACAATTCTCACAATAAAAAGATGAACAATCCAATCCTTTAAACAAAGAAGGAAATAATTTTTTAAGATAAGGGAAACTAGGATGCCCTAGTCTAAAATGCCATAGCATTATTTGTTCTCTAATAGGGATAGAACGAAAACTACTCAAACCTTGAGCCTTTTTATTACTTGAAATATCATCTTCAAAATAGTAGAGACCATCTATCATCTTAGCACTGCCAATCGTCTTCCCCAAGCTCTGGTCCTGAAATTCACAATAGGATTCAAAAAAGATAACACGACAATTAGAGTCTTTGGACAATTTACTAACTGATAAAAGGTTACAAGCAAGCTTAAGGACATGAAGGACAGACTTAAGATCAATAATTTTTGAAAGTTTCACTAAACCTTTGCCTGCAATAGGAGAATAAGAACCATCAGCTATTCTGATTTTTTTTTCAGAGCCAGAACAGGGTGAATAAGTTTGAAATAAATGAGAACAACTTGTCATATGGTCAGAAGCCCCTGAATCAATGATCCATGGGGTAACACTGGAATTTGAATGACAAGATAAGGCCTTTGGGTTGTTACCTGTTTGAGCAAGAGAAACATTAGGAGTACCAGATGAGGAATTGAATTTCAGCAATTTTAGAAGATGATCCATCTGTTCTTTGCTGAAGGGAAGTGCCTCGGCTTCATGAGCTGATGGGGCTCGGTTGAATCTGCCTTCCTGGTTGAATCTGCCTTCCTGCTTACTCTTCCAATTCGCTGGTTTACCATGAATTTTCCAGCAGGTTTCACGGGTATGGTGAGGCTTGTTGCAGTGGTCACACCAAAGACGGGGCTTTTCATTATGTTTCCTGCCAATATTCGCTTCAGATGCGACCAAGGCAGAGGTCTCAACAGCACCATTTGATAACTTTTTTCCAAGCATGACCAGCCTGCGACTTTCCTCTCTTCGAACCTCGGAGAAGACTTCACCGATTAAAGGCAAGGGTTGTCGTCCAATTATTCTGCCTCTCACTTCATCAAACTCGACATTGAGTCCAATGAGAAACTTGAAGATGCGGTTGTCTTCCACCTTCTTTTTGTAATGGTTGCAATCTTCAGGCGATTTCCACTCATAATCGCTGAACAAATCAAGGTCCTGCCACAAACGTTTCAGAGAGTTGAAATATTTTGTAACACTGTTATCTCCTTGACGGATCTCTCCGAGTTTCAGCGTTAGTTCATAGACTTGAGACTGATTTCACAGGTCTGAATACATTTGGTTGACATTGTCCCAAAGTTCTTTTGCTGTGTGGTAACACATATAATTAGAACTGATGTCCTCCTCCATAGAATTCACCAACCAGGTCATCACCATCGAATTCTCTGCATCCCAGGTCGAGTAGGATGGATCTTCAGGTTTTGGTTCCTTCTTTTCTCCTGTTAGGTAGCTGATTTTGCCTCTGCCTCGGATATACATCCGCACGGACTGGGACCAGCGAAGGAAGTTTTCACCATTTAGCCGAATTGTGGTAATCTGGACGGAGTGTGTCTGAGAGTTTTGGACTTGGGACTCAAAGGTCTTGGTCTTGGACTCAGGTATGTCATCAGACATGGTGATTAGAGTTGTTTGGAAGAGAAAAAAAAGGAACAGCTAGGGGTTTTTTTTCCAGAAGAATCGGTAAGATGCTCTGATACCAAATAGGCGATTTCAAGATTGAAAGAAATCTGTATATTGCCTTCCTTTGAATGGTTTACAATGCTTTAGTTAAATAGGACATACAAGGGGCTAAAAAAAAAAGGAAACTACAAGCTGACTACAAGCTGTGACAGCAAACTACAGGCTGTAATTACAGGCTGTATACTAACAGAAGCTACAGGCTGTGCACTAATAGAAGCTATAGGTTATACACTAAAATATCCCCTAAAATCTGGTCATTGACTATCTATATTTACACGCCTATCATATCCCCTAAAATATGGTCTTATTAAAACCAAATATCTCTTTTTCAACAAAAACAAGCAGGTTTTGTGCTCCAGCAGCACTGCCACAAGGTTGCAGTCCACTTTTAAGTGCAAATCAGCCTCTACAACAGTACAAAACGCCCAACATGTGGGACAGCAGCTGCCACTTTTTGGTGGTGTTAGAGAGCAGGCTGCCACTGTAGAAAACTTCCAAAATTATGGAAGGCCAGCAGGCCAAAGTCAAGGCGGAGACCTTGGGCTGAAGTGTTGCAAGTGTGGAGAGCCTGGGCATAGATCGGCGGAGTGCAGAAAAGATGAAAAACAGATTTTGATCAAAGACGATGATGCAACCCCAGAGGTAGAGCCAAAATATGATGATTATCCGCAGGTAAGAGGATGATGAAATCTTATATGGTGATTTAGTTGAATTCTTGGTTATGCAAAAGCCCCCTTTGCTTCCAAAACATGAGGATGATAAAGTTAAGGAATTCGATACGGCAAAAGAAGAGGATGGTGACAAGAAGTTTGCTATTGAGAAAGAACAACATGGATTAGCTGATGAATGGGTCGAAGAAATTTTCAAATTCCATGTCCAAGATGGAGTGGAGAAGTTTAGGCATCAAGTTTGTGAAGAAGGATCATTATGTGAATCGATTGTTGATGAAGAAGTTATTATTCCAGAAAGTGCTAGTGAAGATACGTTGGTGTCGTGTTTTGAAGGTTACTTGGCAATGTACGGAATAATTTTGTGGCAAACAGGACTTTTTTGGTTGGGATTGAATTTAGTGCAATGCTTCTTGCTCCTCTTACTAACTATTTTGAGGATGATATCATGCATCTCGAGGTTTGGCAATATGAGGACCGAGCTCATAGTTATCTCGGTATGAGAGTTCACCGTGAAGTGATCATTCCAGCATGTCCATTGGATACAAAATGGCTTGATTGTACACTTACAGGTAGAGGCAAGGTGAACTTCATATTTGCTCAAACATTGCAATCAGACAAAAAAAAAAAAAATTTGAAGCAAGATTTTGTAGCATTAAGATCAAGTCCTCAATGGTATGAAATTTTGTTCATACTAATATACGATGAGCCACTTTATTCGTAGTGAAACTCGAGGGCAAGTTTTTTCCAACCCAGGGGGACTGATGCAGTCAATGATTTTATCAACTTTGTGATCGTTGGAAACTTTCCATATTCTGCTTTTTGAAAACTTTCCATGATATGATTTTTGGAAAATTTTAAGTAATTTCAGACTTTCCATGTTCCATGATCTGTCCTTTATTGTAATAAAGCCAATTATAATAGGATTGCTAGGAGACTCTATATAAAGGGTGGCTAGGGTATTGGAAAGAGCGGTGATGAATAATATTCTTAATAGAATTGCAGCAACTGTTGTTTGCTTGTCTTTTTTCTCCTTGTTCTTGCATTCCTTTCCTTCTTCGTTTATTTTTCTCTTGCTTTAGACAACAATTGTTTGTCCTCTCTTGGTAAGGCGGCATCATGGTGTACATATTATGGCTGCTCAGAATAACTTTTTTTTTTTTTTTTTGTTAAGTGGCTGCTCAGAATAACTTCTTCCACTATACACTTAGCTTCACGATGTTGATGAGACTATCCATCTAGCTGTAATCATTGTCCAACTATTATTAGAATGAATATTCTCCAAGATATGGTTACCTCTTGAATGTGCCGTCAATGTTATGCTTTTGCATTGCTTAACTAGCTCAAGTTATATACTGGGACTCTCTTTTCTTAGAACTGCTAGGACTCCGTTGCAAGAACATTTTTACTTCTTTCTTCTAAATTGTCAAATGAAAGTTGTCAATTGGCTGTCTTCCCCAAGACTTGTTATTCCTCTCTCCTTCATCCTATCTGTTAATCTTTTTCTTATTTTTTACATTTTTATCCATTTCTCATTCTTTATATTTTATATTGAAACAAGTTTAAAGTATTTACTAGAAGTATCATCCCAGCTGCCCACTAAATTATTCCAATTCACACTGTTTATTTATAACTATATCTACCACATGTCAAGTGGAAAATTTTCTCAAGTTCGTTTATTAATGAAAAATATTAATCAAAATAAGAAATTAAAACAAATGATTCATGAGAAATAAAACCATGAGTGACAACTTGTCTTACAAGTGTGAGGTAAAAAACTTGTTATGTCAAAATACAGAATCACAACATCTGCAAGCATCAAAGGTGGGACGCTTAGTTTATTCTTGGGTGCCTGTTCTACTTTATGTAACATTGTCTCCTCTTCTATTGCCCAATAAAAGACTTCACAAAAATAAGTTCTACATCTTATTAACCAAAAATATGCAGCAATGACAAGGTGCGTCTAAACAAGGAATTGCCAAAGCAAAATGATTTCTTTGAACAAAAATGAATACATAGTCTTTTAACATTGTGATGTTGTGGCCCGAATTTTGTTTTGGCCAGGGACGTGATGTGATCCGGTTTTGGCCCAATTTTTTTGGCCCATTTTCCTCTTGTGGGTCATGGACCCAGTTTTAGAATTCTCTTATAACCCAGCATATAATGGATTTTAGGTTTGGGAACTGTAGCGAGAGAACACTAAAAAGTAAAAACTGCAGGAAAGAGAGAGAGAGAGAGCTAGGGTTTGGGGATGAAACTTGTAATCTCCTGATTTTCACATAGTGAAATCTTTCACCGGATCTTCATCGTGGACTTAAGCTTTGACGAACCACATAAATTTTTGTGTTCTTTGTGTGTGGCGTGTTTTACTTTTCTATCGTGAGTCTGGACTGTGTTCTTGGTTCGTGGTGTTTGTCATAACAATTTCAATCTAAGAAATGACATGTAGAAGAATATGTTAAAAGTAGTATCTTTCTTTAACCAAAAAAATAACCTTACCTTTTTTCATTTGGAAACTGTTTTAACTAGTAATGTCTATAAAAGACTCGACACAATGATTTAAGGTTTATAAGGCTCAAGACAGATTTTACAGAGGGTCAACATTCGCAGTCTTCTCAATGAACAATAAAAGGCAATTAGTTAATTCTCATCCCACTAAAGCAGGCTGCTGGGAGGGGCACTGGAACATTATTTTGCAGTAAGTGACTGCTGTCAGACTCAAACTCAAGTCCTCAAACCTGTGCACTTGAGCTTTTATAATTGTGTCAAGCAATATTTCACCAATCATTCAACAAGTCAAACGATTTTAATTTCAATTTTTCCTTCGTTTAGATAATTTCTTCAATAATTAAAAATAAAACGAAAACAATAAATGAGATAACTACAGCATCTTGAGGCACATAGCTTCTTGTTATAATGTCAAAAGTTTAAGCAACATTCTACCATAAAAATTGACAATGTTAAATGGATTGTGCTAAAATTTGACTATGTCAGCTATGAAATTAGAATTACATACTTTGCAAAAGGCGAAGACAAGCAGCTGTGATAAAAATACTTGCTAGATAGTATAAGGCATCCTTCTTTAAAATGTTCGTTGGAGAAATATCATTCCATCCGACAATAACCATAGCCTGCAACAGAACAGTTCAGACACTTAATTTTTGACACAAACATCCAAAATAAGGAGTGAAGATGATTGTCTGTTAGTAACTTATCTGTTGCACTTAAATACCTGTAAAGCCAATATATAGAATGTCCACAAACGATCAAAACTGCGAAAAGTATGCCAAAATGTTCGGGTCTCAACAAAATATGATTTGCCTGTGCTTCTAGACGTTCTATGATTTGCCTGCTTTCCCTGTCATATCAGCTATATCAAGAAAAGAATCAACAGATTAGAATCAAAATAAAGAAATAATATCTGCATCTAAGAGTACTTGTGCCATGTCACGTGTTGATTTGAAGAAATCACCATCATCACGCATAGGCCAACCCAAAGAGAAGCAATCAGACGACCTGAACAAGGTGAAAAAAATCATATATCAGAGCAAGTAAAGAAACCCAAACACCCACTACAATCTTCATTAAAAAAAATTAAAACTTAAAAGTTTTAATGTAAACTCCCTATGTACCAGAAGTACTCATTTAGATCATCATAGTTGCACCAAGATGAGTGAGGGGCCTTTCCATCATTGCACTTCTTGGCTTCCTGGAATATCATTAGCACCAATGCATCATGTCTAAAAGAGAAAGGCTGAACGTTAGACAACTGTGTGCAAGTTTACTTTAGAAATTACCCTGTCAATTACTCGATAAAGGGGCGTTATAACCTTCCGAAGGAAAGATTCATCGTCTCCACCATAAGAAGGCTTAATGTTTTCTCCAGTTACAATGCTGACATTTCCAGCCAATAGACCATGGAGTTCATATGCCATCTGAACATATATTGGGACATTGCTATGAAACATGTACTAAAATATAAAACAAATAATTAGTTAACTTAAACTAACACCGGAGTCTTAACAGAGGAATGAACTACTCACATTATGAAAAATGTAGCATAGGCACTCTGGCATAAAGCGCACGTTAGCTGCTTCACCCCAGATAAGAAGATAGAGGCCCATGTAAAGTATCTTTCTCTGTTGCACTTCTTGTTGCCCTTGAGGGAGCCTACCAGCATCAAGATTTGAATATTTTAGTATCAGACACTCAGATCATACATAATATCAATTCAAACTATAAAAGCATAAAGCATAAGCATGCGCGACAAGTCCTCTAACAGAAGTAAATGCAGATATAATTGTATCTCACCGTAAACTGTGTTTTCTTCCCAAGAACTTGCACCATGTTTTGTAGTTCTTGAAAATCTTGTTCATGACTGCATCAACAGCTCGATCATCAAGCTGGATTAGAGGAATACGTTAAAATTTACCAGTGCCCAAGTGTGGAGAGAGATAAAGCATAACATTAAATAGCATACAGACATGAAAAAAATAAAAAGACAGACGTAGAGTCTTTCTTATCACCCCACCCCGGGCAGGTGACTAGAGGGGTGCCCCCGCCCTAATCCTTTCTAGACATGTTGCAGGCCCCAATGCCACATGCCAATTTTAAACAAGAGAAAATGATTGTGAGGTTGACCTCAAGGAGGGGAATCAAACTCAAGACCTCCACAAATCAGACACAGAGGCTTACAAAGATAATTGTTTAATGGTGCGAGAAGTAACAACAAGCACAAACACACGGAGACAATGAAAATAGCATTCAGTTCAGCTCTGAATTTGGACACAGCATAAGCCCCATCAAAAGTAGGACATTGATGTTTTAACATCACAGATAATGCTACAAGCTATGAAACGCAACATTGTAACAATAAATATGAGAAATCAGTGCATGCCTTGTTAAGAGGCTCAGGCTTGGGAATTAGTCTTATATGAACATTGGCAAGTAGCAGAATTAAATGCTCCCTCTGATTCCTGGCATTGTCTCTCTGTGGACACCAAAACAGTTATAAGGCATATATTAAAATCTTTCAATGACTCTAACCATTCAATATCCAATTCTGTAAAACAAAACACATGCCTGAAACCCAAACATGGCCCTTAACCAATCAAGAAGGTCCAAGTCCCCAGCTTTTTGTCTCTGCTGCTCAAACGCAGCCGGCCAGTTCAAGCCTCTTGTATTCCAAAGTGCAGCCACAGCAGCCTTAACCTAAAAATATGCATGCTTATCATGTCAATTGATGTTGGCACTATAATATACTGAGAGATATGGATGTGTGTATATCCTCCATGGTAGGTACCTCCTCGAGCTGCATGACAGACTGTGATGTGCCAGCAGAATCCAGAGGAAGAATGTTATACGGAGCATAAATTTCCTTCTTTGCCTGGACATCTTTTGCCGCGGCAATAATCTTCTCACCAAGATAAATAAAATAAAATAAAATAAAATAAAATAAAATAAAAACATTGATTTCTGTAGCAAAATCATGACGAACAAACACACCAAGATAGCTACTTCGGACGAAAATGTGTGTTGTGTGTGTGTGTGTGTGTGTGCGCGTGTGTTTTTGCCAAGGAATATCTATCTCTATAAAAAGGCAATTAACAACAACAGATGGACTGGCTGACCTCAGGAGCAACTTCTTCAACTTTTTCAGTCTTGTTAACGGCACAGAGGACTTCAAAAAGCACTCCGGCTGTCTGATAAGCTTTGCCAAGTTGGGCTCTGTCATATACATACATACATATATAGATAAAAAAGATATGGTGGGTGGGTTCTTTGTAAAACCAAATCAAAGTAATGTGTTAAATTATTTGAATATACCTGTCTGCTTGCTCTCCCTTGTCCAAAGCTCGAATGTAGTTCTCATAGTACTGTTGGTAGAAGCTCTCTATTTCCCTTGCATCAGTCTTTTTCACACGAGAGGCAAGACTTGAAGCATTGTCCTGAATTATTATTATACTAGTAAGTATCGAACACTATAATCACTATTGTTATTATATTATCATCATCATCATCATCATCATCAACACTCCTCACCACAATACAATTACTACCATATCATTTTTCACTTACTACACACACACACACATATATAATATCCAATTCTTTTGTTCAACTTTGTGCAGTTTTTGGACAAATGCAGATGATCAAATTCAGAAAACAAATAGTGCATGCGCTATATGAGTAGTGTGTGTGGTAATCAATCAATGATCAAGTAAATTTAATAAAATGGTCGTACACTATGTAAACAGAAGAAGAAGAAGACTAACCTTTGTGTTCGGGAGTACGAATTTGAATGCGTAATTAATTTAATTTATATTGTAAATTTAAGGCTTGATTTGGTGCTCCCAACACAAAGCATAATCCCTTTTCCTTTTGTTTTTCATCTTATGGATTTCAATTGCAGCGTGAGAAAACGAATAGCCCTAAAGCTAAAGCCTGACCCAGAACTCTAGGTAGGTAAGGGGCAAGATTGAAATTTTGTAATAATTTTGTAGGGGTATTAACAATATTTTATGAATATATATTGAAAAAAAGAAAAAAATAGCATTGTTTTTCTTATTACTTGGACTGGTTGTGAACAAAAGGTGTCGACCCGAGCCCACCTATACTATTTTTAAGAGTGACGTTACTATGTGCAATTAAATTCCGCTACTCCTATCTGGAATGCTACATGAAACTGAAGTAATTTTCTAAATAGTTTATATTTTATTTGCACTATAAAGATACCAAAAATAAATATAAAAATAAATTGAAGAGGTTTTGACTATCCCTCTCTATCTCTATTATTTGTATATTCATCTTCTTCGTTCTGCTGCTTCTTAATTCTTTCTCTCTTTGACTCACGGTTCTCTCTTTTTCACTTTACAAAATTGAAAAGAAAACAAAATATTGAGAAGTCTATATTGGTTCATAAAATCAAAGAGAAAAATACATATAAACGTATATGTTCGCTTGAAAAAAAAAAAAAAAAAAACTAATAAGATTGGAAGTATGTATTCATGTTTTTTTTTTTTTTTTTCAATATATATTTTGGCTTCTGTATATTGTATCAATTTTTGGGATTTGATTAAAAAAAAAAAAAAAACCCTTCAAAAGTTCAAATCGAATTATGCCTCCCAAAGGATCTTCTCTCAAAGGCTATCAAGTCCTATACCCTCTCCTCTGATGCCATGTTCATCATCCAACTTCCTGTTACGTTCATTTTTTTTTTTTTCAAACCCATCATCAACTTCTCACTGAAAGAATCAAGAAGCAGCGGAACGAAGAAGATGAATAGAGAAATAAGAGAGATGGAGAGGGATAGTCAAAACCTCTTCAGCTTCTTTCTATATTTATTTTTGGTATCTTTAGTATGCAAATAAAATATCAATAAACTAGGTAATTGCATGGATTCGAATTAGGAGTAGCCAATTTGATCGGATAGAATATCATTACTCTATTTGAGTTTAATGATAGTACAATAATTGAAATATTAGGCAAACTCGGCCCAACTCGAGTCTAATCTGGCCAACCTAAACCAACCTAAATAAGTTTTAGTAACGGTATTATTAGGTAAAATGAAACAATTTTGACAAAAAATCAGACTTAAGAGGTACAACATTTCTTCCTTAACAGTGAGGTAAGGCCCTGGGGGGTCAAGTCCCAAGTGGATTAATATTTCTTTATTGTTTGTGTGACCTAAATTGGACAAATTAACTCGAACAGGGGCGAAGCCAAGGGGGAGGGCAAGTGGGGGTGGGGGGCCATGACCTCCCAAAATTTTAAATTTTTTTTTGCTATACCTCCAAAAATTAGTTAATTTACAACCCCCCCCCCCCCCCCACCTTTTTTCAAAACTCTTGTATATTAGCTTCAAAATAAAGACATTGAAAATTAATTTAACTTGTTTCCCCTCATATTTAATAAAAATGCATTCCCTTTGTTTTTTTCTTTTTGTTGCATATTTTATCTTACGGTGTTTACAATTAAAATATCTAAAATTATATACTTATCACCATTGACGTGTTTTGGATTCATTAGAAAGGAGAAAAAACTAAAGTGTTGCAAGACTTAAATGGCAAAATGCCAAAAACAACAATAATATCATATATATTAATACTTTTAATTGTCACTTGTTAAATGACAAATTTGTATGGCTATTAATTTATTGTATAAGTTACTAAAGTTATAGAACTTGTGTAATTTTACATAGTTAAAATGTAATGTCCGGAATTTTTCATTATTTATTTATTTATTTTCATGCATAGTTTTACGCACCATGTGGGACCTGGTTATTTTTATTGCATCATTTATTTTATTTTGGGACATTGAGGTGTTATATATATATATATGGGACAAGTGCACCCCTAAAGTATACTCTGTGTAGCACTTTTATCCTTTATTTAAAAAAGATTACAAAAAACACCCCTAATATTTTCACATTGTACAAAAATACCCTAGCTGACAAAAATTAGTGTTATAATACCCGTTTTACCTTTTTACTCTTCCGAAAATGTTCAAGGGGGTATATATGCTACTAATCTTATAGTATAGGAATGTTATCTGCACATTATTGAAATTTTTTTCTCTATATATATCTCTAAATATTTTTTAAAAAAAACTTTAAGAATTTGTAAAATAAGGATTTGAATTTTTTGAGATTCTAGTTTACTCTTTTCTACAAAAAATAAATAAAATAAAAAATTTTCCAATATCAGTGTGCACTGGTTTCGGAGTTTGGAAAAAAATTGTTTTCTTTAGTTTGCACTTTATTTTTGTTTTCATTTTTTATTTTTATCTTTATATATATATATATATATATATATATATATATATATATCTTTACTTGTCCATTGTCGGTGTCCTCCAAATAGTGTCATTTTTAGTCATTTTATAAAATTATTATTTTTTATATATTTTATAAAATGGTTCAGTAAGGGTATTTTAGTCAACTTGGAGTTTAAATTTGTTAGATGGACCTACGATCAGATTGAAACTTTAGGGGTGTTTTTTGCACGAGAGAGGCATTCTCCAACAGTGTCTTTTTCGATCATTTTATAAAATTATTTATTTTTATATATTTTATAAAATGGTTCAGTAAGGGTAATTTAGTCAACTTAGATTTTAAATTTGTCAGATGGACCTATTTGTACCAGATTATAAACTTTAGGGGTGTTTTTTGCACAAGAATGACATCCTTCAATAGTGTCATTTTCAGTCATTTTATAAAATTATTTATTTTTATATTTTTTATAAAATGTTTCAAGAGTAATTTAGTCAACTTAGGGTTTAAATTTATCAGAGGGACCTATTTGCACCAAATTAAAACTTTAAGGGTATTTTTTGTACGTGAAGGGTGTGATATGCATTGTAAGCATACTTTAAGGGTGTTTTATGCACTTGACTAATATATATATATATATATATATATGAGAGGGGGGGTTAGCGAGGAGAAATATTTATGTGGCATGTGTTGTAGTTGTGATGAGAGGAGAGGTTATTTTGGTAAATTGGCAAGTCAAATGGAAGACACATTTTAGACCACTCATTTTGAAAGGCTAAGAATAAGCCTTGGATTACATTTTCCACCAACCATCATCACCCCCATCACGCTCTCTCTCTTAGCACACACTCTCTCTCTCCTCCATTTTTCTTTTCTTTTTCTTCTTCCACATTCTTTTTAGATTTTCCCTATGTTAGAGTGAAATTTGAGAAGATTCATAGTTAGAAAAGTGGTAGATCTTAGTAAGGGGAACGTTTTGACACCGGTCTTGCATGCATTTGGTAGATTTCGAGTTTAGATCTTGAACTTGGGGTTGTTTTATTTGAGGTAGGAAAGTCTAAACTATAAGGTCTTTAATCTTGATGAGTTATCTACTATGTGTATTTGTTGAAAGGTATGATTATGTGGAAGATGTTGTTCTTTACTTGTTGAATTTCTTGATATGGTATTTGCTTGACATGATTCATGCTATATGCATGTATATGTGATTATATGTTTTATTTGGGCAAAAGGATGCTGTGATGATGATAGTATATATATTGATTTTTTGAGAAATGTTAATGATTGATATATATCATGCATTTCATGGACATTGGTTGGATTATAGGTTGGAAAAGATGTTTAAAATGATTTCCAACGGTTTTGTAAAAGTTAATTTTAAAAGCTTTGAAAGGTTTTGAAAATGATTTTGTGAAAACGGATGCTAAGAAAATGCCATGTGGTTTGGGGTTAACCAATCTAGAAGGGGGCACGAGACAGTTTGAATGTATGTAGTTGAACTACCTAGGTCCCAAATGACGCTAGGGAGGCACCCTAGGTCAGGAATAGCTAGTCAATTCCCTTCGTGATGCCTAGGAGATGCCTAAGGTCGAGTTGTGTTAAAATTTTCGGTGTGGGTTGTATTATGACAGAAATGGTTTTGGAAATGGGAAGAGTGCACTTCATGGCATTCATTTCATAATCGAAAGGTTTGGAATTCAATGTTTTATGTATGATATCTTTTTCCCATTACATGATCCCTTTCTCTTTGTTATCCTATATATGTTTTGGGTGTGATTCACAGGATTATAAGAGGTTTATTTTAGACTATCTCTATTGAATCGTCGCGCTTACTCTATATATAACATTTTCAGGAAATGGAAAGGATGTCATAAAAGAGACACCCCCACAAGCTTAGTTATATTTTTAATGACCCCTTTTGTATCTTTCATAAAGGCATTCTTTTGGTTATTTGAAAACATGTAATGACCTTATTATTTTGTCGGCTTCAAGAAAAGTAGTTGTATTTGTGGCCACGGAGGACTTGAATTGTAATCCTGTTCTTTTGAGCACAATTTTATCATTTCAAGGATGTATGAATGTTTAAATGGAGATTTGATGGTGAATGATAAATACTAGATGTTATTTTGACGATTCAATACAATGGTCGTATGTTAAATGATGTCTACAGGAAT